GACAAAGATGACGAGAAGTGAATAAGATAAGAGTTTCAGTTAGTAGCATTTTTCATAATTAAGTGATTAACCATTTACAAACATCATATTACGGATTACTTCCATACAGCAACCGACTTTCCCTCCAAATCCCCCCTATCTAGAGGTGAATTATGGTGTCCCTTATGCTCTTGTAAGAGCTTCACCATTCTGAAAGCCTCTGCAATACATAGTGCCCACTCAGGTGGAAGTGTAGATAAATTGCATGTGACAACTTGACAGACGTTAGCAATGAAGACTTTTCTTAGAGAACCAAACACCACAGAGTGAATTCTGGGGGAACATGCCGCTGCCATGGAAGGCAGCTTTGCCTTGGCTGTTCTATCAGGCTGTACTGCAAGTGTCAAAATAAAACATTCAGACTACAACATCATCTAGCTCACCTCTCTGACAGTGGTCAACAGCATGTCTGACAGACAACCTAAAATTTGGAAAAGTCCATTGTGCCACTTCCCCAGAATAGCCACTTGAAAAGTCTTAGAAATTCCCTGCTTGTTTTTTAATTTTAATATGCCCTAGTAATTAACTTTTCATGGATTTGTCTACTTCTCTTTTCAAAACACTTTTACACTTTTTTGTATCCACAATAAATTGACACCGAGTTCCAAAGGTCACACTGTGGGAAAAAAGAAAAAATCACACACTCCTTTTCCCTTTTTAATTTGAATCTGATCTCTGTTAGTTTCATTTGATGCTACTACTTCTAGTGGGCAAGACTGTGAACATTTACTTTTTCACCTTCTCACTTAGAGTCCTCCTTGCTCACCTCTTTTCCAATTAACCACTTTCTGCATGAAGAGAACTATGAATGTTTTGTGCTCTATCCACCTATCTCAAGGACTGTTTGACTGACCCAATTCTGTAAAGATAAAATAAGGTCCTCCTGGTGTTTGGCATAAACAAGGACGCCCTTGCTCTAGAAACATGAGGCTCTAGAAAAAAGGACATCAAGTCTCAGGTTTAAATAAAGTTCAGAAGTTTCTTTTGAAAGAAACTTAAGACAGATCCACAGAATAATGTGTCTAGAAAGGAAACAGTAGGAAGAGGATCAACCAGCCAGTTACTGCAACTAAAAAAATCCAACTATTTAAACACCAGCAAATAACCCATCCAGATTCAAACAGTGAGTCCAGGATTATCATAAGCAGCAAATGTAGGACTGACTAAGGAAAAAGTCTTTGGCAGTTTGATCAAGTAAACCTTAACAACAATAAGTCAGGGGCCAGACTACTTTTGTTTCCTGCAAATAATCCAGAATGATTGGAACTGTTGTATTAGTAAAAGATACAGGCCCAAAAGAATGCAAACTGAGAATCCAGTCTGTTCTGTAAACTCATCTGTAAGTAAATGATCTCCTTCAGAGGTAAAGAAGAGGAATGATCCAGCACTGCCAGCCATTCAACTCCATGCACATGGAGATTACCCATATTCCAGTATGAGGAAGAGGCACAGCATTAAAGATTCCTACTAGTAAACAAAGGTCTTGATACCAAAGCCTCTTGCCATAGTGTGGAACCAGTGTCAGAGATGTGTGTTGACCTTCCAGGCATCATAATGAGGAGCATTTCCACAAACAATGATCGTCCAAAAGCATATCTTGTCTTGAGAATAGAAGTTTCAGTATTTCTTGCTGGCATCCAAGACTAAGTAGTTTACCCAGTGTCATAATATGATGTCCCACTGCTGGCACTCACACGACTTGTGAAGCTGTTTTAAAGGCCAAGCAAAACCATGTGAAAGTGAACTTGATACTTCATGTACTGAGCACAAGTCAGCTACTTCTGGAAAGGATAAAAACAATATCCTCCCTTAATTTTTATGCTCTGGTACACCCATCACTTGAACACAACACAAAAAGCTTGTATGAATTCTGCATTACCTCAGCCTCCAGGACTCTGATGTGGACCTTACTCCTTTCAAGACTGACAAGACTGATTTTCCATCATCGGAACAGACTCCTTAACGTAGAAGTGATGCAAACATCACTGAGCAGGAGAGAAGAGGGGGACTCTGTGCTTACACTGTCCAGTCTCACCACTAAAGTAGATGATGAGAGATGTTGGAACTTTCTTTTGGTAATTTTCTCACAGTGAACAAAGGCACTTTCAAGGAAACTCATTGATAAATACAGGGAAGTAAATCTCATAAAAGCAGAGATAAACTAATCCCCACTTGAGAAGCACATATGTAATTGTACTCCCCTCATGTGCATCTATTATAAATCCAAAATGATTTGCTAATCTCCTTTCCTCCCTTGTACTAGAAAACATTTTACATTCCTGTAAAATGCCTTCTCTCTAAGACATCCAGGAAACAGTTTTATGCCTCCCCATTAAATCTCTTAACTGAACCAGTCTCTTTTGAAAAGGGACAGACGTGGAGGTAGCAGCTGCAACGAGACAAAATATGTATGTTATCCTTCAGTACATCATACCCACCATGCACAAAGACATACATGGAGTCCAGGCTGAGATGGAAAAAATATGAGGCTGAATCACAGGATTTTTCCTGATTCTCTATTGCACGTGCTCCCAAGGTAACAGCATTTGTGTGCAGAGCTGGGATCAGCTGATACACAAGGCAAAGGAATATTGCTATTTCCTCTGATGCTCTGGCTGCCCTAAAACATCCTGAAGCTGAACAGTTCAGCGTCTAGGTGTTTGGCTTGAGGTAAAGGACCCATCCTGAGATCCCTGTTTTGGTTTGGTTTTTCTGGGGGGGGAAGGGGAGGCTCGGGGGTTTTTTGGTTGTTTTTTTATTTATTTGTTGGAAGCAGAAGAAAATTTTTCCAGGGACAAAGGGTGCAAGACTTCACTGCTCCTGGAGCTGACAAAATTCATCCCTTAAACATGAGGGTCTTAGACCACAATGTGCATTTCTCCAAATATTTCAAAAATCTTAGAGACAAGATGTCTGATACACTGGTACACAGTCATCGCAGTTATAGACATGGTGCTGGCTACGTCCAACATGCAATGCAAAGTTCACAAAACATGCTGGCTACAGCTGAGTACTAATCTATCCCAAAATGAGTGGGTGGGAGACTGGCAAAGCCGACAAAACAAGTAACCTGTGTTCATAATGAGCCAGCACTAACCAGTAATTTGCCAAACAAAGATGTAAGAATACTGTTTCTAACAGTTATCCTATGAAGACAATCACCTTTCCTGGGCTGTGAATTTAAATCTCTATCCTCCAAATCTCTCTTTAGTTTTTAGTGGTGGCTGTGACAACCTGAATGAAGAAACTAGAGAACAAAAGCAGAGATGAGAGTTCCACAAGGATGTATATTCTACAGCTACTTAATCCTGCACATAAAACCCAGTAGAATAAGGATAACCTAGATCCCCCTAGGAGGAAGAAAGGAATAGAATCTGTTACTCACTGAAGCTAAATCTTAGAGGGAAATGGCCCCATCGACAGCTCTGGAACAGAGCTGGATGCTGTAGCAAATACCACATGTAGCAGTAGGCTGTGAGAAGTCAGACCCAAGGTCTTGAAACCCACAGCTGCTCAGGATGTGCAGAAATCTGAAGTAACAACTTCTGCAACTAACTTTTCACTAATCATGAGCCAACAACTCGATGCACAAGTAGAACCACCTATCTCAGAGAATTCCATGAATGGAATTCAATGATTACAGACAGAAGGGACATGATCTGAAAGTAACTTCACAAGATTTTACAGATCTGTTGGTCACTGATGATATGTGATGGTCACACAGGCAGCAAACAAATGCTGTGGAGATTCTTGAAGAACACAGCTGAAAAACACAGAGAAAGTGAAAAGGAACGTGATTGTCTAGGAAATTAAAGATAAACCAATGGAGTAAGAAAGGGAGCAGCTACATCAGAGAACTGTATTTTGGACAAATGAAGTATTCAATGTCTGTCATATGCATGACTGGAGCAGAAACAGAAAAATGTTCTGCCCTATGAATTTATGCCTGGAGCAAGCAATAGTGAAACTAATGGAGTATGAACATAATTATTTAATCTTCTCCCAATTTATCTGGTCTTGGATGACAGAAAATATGCACAATCCAGGAGTGAACATGAACACAATCATTTTAAGAGAAAACACTTTTCTCCTGTAACACTGTTTCTTCTGTCAGCCACATTATCTACTTGCCAACCCACTCTAAGTACACTGACTATGCAGGCTAAAAATGACAGGGAAGGTGTGGAGTAAGAAAACAGATCAAACTGTTAGAATCCCATATCTGAGGGCCCTGATACAAACAACAGGAGATTCTACACCCTTTGAAAAGTAGTCATACCACTTGCTGTTTGACAAGGCAGAAGCTGCAAAATACTGACTTTTCCTGTAACCTGGCACCAGCAAAGAGCCACAGCTGAAGCTGCTTCCTGTTCATGTTAAGGATGGGTGGAACTTCTCTCCAATACATTTTCCAGCCGCTGCTGTTTTCTAATGCAAGCAAATTTTAACTGGAGTCCTTCACCAAGCCACTACTGCAAGTGATAGGAACCACCTGGGCCTTAGGGTTCAATCTTGGGTCTGAAAACATCAGGCAATTAAAAAAGTTTATAAAGCCTAAACAAACAGAAATCAAACCACAAAAATAAGCCACACAGAACATAAGCATCCACCAATGAAGCATAAAGACAGATTTAAAATCCTGTCTAATATAATAACAGCAAATATTTTGGGGGTGTGAATTAATAACCAAAATTATAACCAATACAAACAAATGAAATGACTTGACTCAAACCAATCATTTCTATGGCTCTGTGCCAAAATTTAAGATGGCAACCAACACGGATGTCTCCAGTCATATGTTCTAATATTTTTCTCTGCTGTTGCCATGTGATGACAACAGAGAATCTTGGCTGTTACCAAACTAGAACAGACGGAAATGGCTGAGCAAATGAGATTTTATGCTCAAACTTGGATCTTAGGAAGAACAATACAGACAGCTGGAGGATCTCCATCTCATCAGGAAGAAGTGGGAGGAAGGGAACCCCACGACTCGGCAGCGGAAGCTCTCAGAGGCAGTCATTCACCTCAGCTTGCAGATGTATCATCATCTTCTACAGATGTTCAGATGCTCTCCTCTGTGGGTTGTCCTCTCACCAGGGCCTCCTCTTCACTCTTTCCTGGGTGTTTGGAAGGGTGGTGGTATGAAGTCACTGCCGCTTCTTCCTTTGCCCCAACCCCCTGGATTCCTCAGCTGGTGTTCAGTGTTAATCCTCCTCTTTGAGCAGAGGCTGGAAAAAAACACAAAGCAAAGATTTTGAGTAATCCTGGGGGGCTGTTTTGTGCACTGCTCTGGAAATCTCAGCCATCAACAGAAATCTGTATCTCCCTATGACACAACCTTCCTCTACGGTAATAGATGAGATTACAGATCAGTATGATAAAACCTAACTGAATCAGCTACTGTGTGAAAAGTACTCTTGGCATTCCTTTCAAGCCCTAGAATGCCTTCTTCACTCTTTGCCTCTGACTCATGTGACTCATCTCTTCACAAGCTCTTCCTGTAGCACTAAATCCTTCTGCAGTAGGCAGAAAATCCTTCTATCAGTAGGCTTTGTCTCTGTGCCTTTTACTTCTTTGCTTACATGGGAATCTATTTTTCCACTCCAAAACATGCTTAGGACCTTGGTGCAGGAGAGATTGGGGTGTGAAAAGGCTGATCTTTAAAATAAACAAAATGGGGGCAAGGAAAATATAATTTCTTCCCATTATTATAGATATTTTAATTCTACATACTGCAACATTTTCCTGCTTAAACAGGTTATGGGGAAAAGTCAATGTCATCTTCACTTCTTTACTTAAAAAACCTTAGACAGTCCCTTAAAAAGAAAAATCTAAACAACTTTGAAATGTGGCATGTTTATTTTGGACAGTTTGCATTTTACAGCTAATGTAGTAGGTAAAGCTTGTCTTGTGTATCTAGCACATCAGCTTGCTTCTAAATGACAGTGTCATTTGTTGAGAGGTGTTTATTAAATGTATTGCTATATTTTAAAAAATACATTCTCCTTGAAAGCCCAGCATAGAGCCAAACATCACATAGCACAGAGGATCTGGAAAGATGTTTAGAAAGCATGATTGCCAGCTATGTCACTGCACAGAAAGTCTGGAACCTGAACTGGGAACCAAACTGTCAGGCATCTGTACTAAGATAGGATATACTAGTCCAGAAATCTATCCCTTGGCAAGATGCTAAAATTAAGGAAACAAAGGCACATGAGAAAGAAGGCCAACTTCAACCTCATCTTCCTGTTTTGAAGAGACTTTTGAGCCCTCCTTTTGCTACAGAAATGCACAGTTCAGTGTTTGTCTTTTCTCACAAACTGAATTAAAATCACTTTGTGTGAGTTCCTCTTGTATGACTACTTTGATGTCTCAACACAAAGAGGGGCATTCCTATGTCTACACGTAAATATGTAGGTTCCTACCATGAGTACAACTCATGGCCAATTCAATCATTTCATAAATATTCATGTATATAATTCTATGAAGTTTTGTCACTTCAAAACTACCGGTGAGCATTCCACCTCCTTCTGGTTGAGTAGGCTGAAGTTCTGGTTGAGTAGAGGGGACAGAAAAAACCCTCACTGCCTATAGCAGCCAGCTTTAAGGGTTGATTTGCCCTTGTGATATGAGGCATTGTAGTGAACCACCACATACAACAGAAGGAATCTCCTTTATTCTCTGCCTGACAGGAGATGTTAAAGTATCTGCCTGTATATCCGTCCACGTTTACATACTATTATGTCATCCATGACTGCACCTCAAAAACTTCACTTTCATACTTAGAACAGTTACATAGGGGGAAGAAAATTATAACCTCCATTTTACAGATACGATTCCCAGTCACAGGGAAATCACTGGAGTTGCATAAAGTCTTCTACGGGATACCTGCACACTAAAATTCAGCGCCATATAGACTTTCCCAGCACAGATATACACAGCCTTGGTCAGACAGCAGCACCTAATCTACCCTGCTTCCAAGCTGCAGGAATGAGAGCAGTACTAGGTCAGGAACCCATGCTAACACTTTTTTTAGAGCTAGTTCGGGCTAGCTAGTTTCATCATACCCACAGCAAGTGTGTGATGGAACTGAGAAGCATATCAAAGACTCCTGAATTTAGTGTTGAAAACAGGAACTTCCCTTCTCCCTCAAAAGCTCTGATAATCCTAGAAATTCAGATTTTTTATCCCAGAGTAGAAGGAATTTCTAATCTTAGACTGATGCCCAACATTCTCTGGATAACATATAGTGCAACTAAGAAAGGCAATAAATAGATGACGTTTATTTATATCCATGGTGACTGACACTAGCAAGCCAGGACAGCTGACAACTCAAGGCCAGCCTTCCCTCCCCCATCTTTTGGGAACAATTTCAAGTTGGCTTGCTGGACTGGGAAAAAGTGGCAGGGGAAAGCAGCAGTTCCAAGTCACAAAAATTTACTTGGGAGTATGGAGGGTGGCACAAACAGTACACAAAACTGCATTCAAGTGCAGTCTCCCTGCATGAAAAGAGCAGTAAGCAGCCTCATTAACAAGTGGAGGAATAGCAGTTAAAGCCAGCATGAGCCTTTCTGCTCCCCATGTTACAGACAAGACACTGGATGGGCTCCTCACCCCAGCCCTTCTGTACTTGACAACCTTCATTCTGATTTCCCTTATTCAGCTCCCTATTCCCTGTTTTGCTCTGGCTCTCTCTTCTCTGGCTCTTCCCTGCATTTCATTTCATAACTTCAGACACTCCTTTTACCCTATTCACACACATTTTGGCGTCTATTTTTAGCATCAATAAAATAATGCCAGATTAAAACAAAATCCGATTTGGATGGGCAAAGTTATCCTGCCTATCAGTAGCTTAATGCCAAAGGGCCAGATGTGAGACAGAAGTAGCCAAGATATTATATAACCTCTCTCTAGTCTTTGCACACCTGATCTGAAATGGTATTTCCAACACAGCAAGGAAATACAGGCAGTTCGCCATCACCTAACTACTGAGAACAAGCAATGCTCAGCCTCCAGGCAAGCAAAAATGCCAACTGCCTGAAGTCATTACTTATCCTGCTTCAGAGTTTTCTTTGAGCCTGTCAGAAGTGAAGGCTCCTAAAGTTCAAGCTGGGTTCTAGCTCTTCAACAAGGGAAGCCAATTTCTGGAGACTGTCCTTTTCTCTTTCTCCTGCTTTCCCAGTGGTCCTGAGACTCAGAATATCCTTTCAGTGGCACAAAACCAGTATCAACAGGAAAAAGTTCATTCCTTTCGTAAAAGAAAAGCAAAAGGTTGACTAAAAGTGTGAGAGGTAGGCTGCTCTCACAAGTTAAGGAATAAATGTCATTTCTGATCATTACAGATGAACACTGACCCTCAGCTCTAGCTGAGAGGTGAAAGCTGAATTGGATATCATCTTCTTAACATCATCTGAGAAGGTCCTGAAATGCTGCTTCTGGCAGAGTTTTACACTCTGCTGGGATTTAATGAGACTTACCCATAGCTTTCTGATAACTGGATAAACTTGAACAGTTATGTCCTGTTGATGATTTATATCTATTTTAAAGGTACTGGTTAGAGACCAATGTTTACTCATTGCAAACATAATGGTTTACATAACATAATGGATAATGATTCCTTGCTCCTTCAAAGAGTACCAAGAATGGGGGTAAAGAGAGGTCTTTCTTTACCCTTCTCATTTCCCTTCTGGCCCATCTGGTACTACAGCTTGTCTGTCATTATCTGATGTGGGACAGAAGCAACAAATATAGCAAGGAAAGAAATTATCTTTCCCTCCCCACTTCCTGTTTGCCCTCTTTGTGAAGCTGTTGGAAGTCAGCAGGGGAGAGAAGATCCAGGATGTTTTCATGATGCATGAAAGAACAATGGCTTTAGTAGGATAATTCTAAGAACAAACGTGAAACCAAATATCCTCTACTGTAATGGATTCCTTGCGCTCTCAAATAGGGAGGCACAGTAGTAGGATTCACCTCAAGTTTCACTGCTTTCCAAAATACAATAAAGTGGACAGATTCTGTTTCTCATTAACACTTTCTCTGCATGGAAACAGTACTACAGAGAAAGATGCTGACAGAATGTCATTGCTGCTGTTGACAATATTGCAGTGTGAGAAGCTGCACTGGAAAAGTTTGATTCAAGGTGCTGGATATCACACAGCTGTTCCCTTTCGGTGACCCATCCAGAGCTTCTCAGCCAGACAGGGGCTTCTAGAAGGATTCATGTGGAAGATGTTATCGTTATTCCATTCCTGGAAAAGGATAAGCAATCAGATGACATCAAAAGTTGTTCTTTTGTGTCATAAGGTATCTTGCGCCTGAGTAGCCAAAGTAGTCTGAGGTAGAGGTTACTCATTTGAAGGTCACCATTTGAAGGTCACCTTTCAAAGTCAAGACCACTTGTGCAGTCAGTCACAGCAACAACAGAAAACCAGGAGGATGGCAAATGAAGATTGGAATTAAAAGGATTAGTGGGAGGGAGGAGGCATACCAGCAATGTGCTGTGCAAAAACCTGAGTGATTTCTTTCCCCAGCTGCTCCTGATGAAGGATTTGGATAGTGTGGTAAGACCAACTGAAATCATAGCCAAGCTTCCTCTTGGGAATGTGGTAACAACATAAAAATAAATACATTGGTGTTCAACAACCTACTGCCTTCTGAGGCTGCAGGGGAGCCTGGCAGAAGCTCAGGGAGCCTGGACAAGGCTGGGCAGCTGGGAATTCCACACTACTGTAGCAAATGGCTGGGAGTCTGACACAGGCCATGTACAGTGGCAACAGTACTTATCCCATCCCACCCACCCCCTTTACACTCCAAGAGAATTGAGAGACACCGGCTTATAAAAGAATCCCCAAATCCCAGGCATTTTCTTTGTTTAGCTCTGGCAAACAATACAAATTGATTGTATGTGTCTTGCTTGAATGCCTGTTGTGTTTACTTGTCTTTTGTTTTGTTGTTTTGTTTTTTGTCTTGCTAGTGCAGCACAAATTTGAAGCTTGTACTTTCACATATGTACTAAAAGAATCTGTTCTTTCTTTAAGCTTATCTAAAAGCAGCTGCATTTCAGGGATAATAGTAATTGAAGCAATGGGCAGACAACAGCCAGACACATATTAGCACCTCCAATATTAAATCTTATTGCAGGTCTCTGATAACAAGACATACCTGACCTTCTTAGGAAGGACCATACAACAACCTTGGATATAAAAACCTTTAGAAATACACAGCCTACCTGTAGATTTTCTGTAAAATGAAAAAAAAAAAAACACCACCACAAAAACCAACCCTGGAGTGTGCTACATGCAGAGAAGAACAAGTGCAAAAGTGTTCCTTACTACCACTAGTTTGCAAGCAGACTCCATTCATTGCACTATACCAGATCACACTGCTTGCACATTCATCTTATTTGGATGGCGTTCAGACAATGCTCTCCACCTTAGCCTAAAGAAGGAAATCACTAGAAAACTAAGAACAGCAGCCTGCTTTCTATGTGGATCAGATCCAAACCAGCTTATTAATCCCCATATTCTTTAGCTGGTCTCTTTGCAGTTCAGGACCTAGTTTTAAGCCCTTACAGATGATGACACACTATTACAAAGAGTTGCATAACTTCAGGACATGGCATTCATGCAGATACGGGGGCCAGGTGAATGTCAGAATAAACAGACAACTGTGCATCATTCTGAAACTAAGCTGAGATACAGACCTGGGAATCACAGGGAATAAAATTAAGTCTATTCCACCTAGCTCAAGAAGTTTCCTCTCTAGCTTCAGACTAAGTTTTGACATTTACCTTCTGTATGAAGTATTCTTAAGAGAACTAGAATACAAATAAATTAGTTATGCTTTAAATAAGAATAGGTAGAGATCCAAGACTTTGACCGAATTATTGGTTTTCGCTGCTGTCAAACTCAGACAGCATATTACTAACTTTTACTTCCCTTAATCAGTAACTCTAATGCTATTTTCTTCTCTCAGCACATTTAGCAGAAAAGCCATATGGACATTAGTAATGTAAACATTAGCACAATAAAACTACATCACTGTTCAGTCTGAGTATGAAAAGGTGAAGTTCTGTCAAGTCTGGAGCCAGGCATCAGTCTTGCCCAGTTTTAATCATGATTCCTATTTGTTTGTAATTATACAGGTTATTAGCACATTATATTTTTGCAATAGCAAAACAAAATCCCAGAGTCATACTGTCTTCTGAAGCCTTTAAAATAAAAATTTCACAAACTCTCTAGAAGTTGGCAGCAAATAAAAGAAAAAAAGCATGAAGACAGAAGACATATTTCACTCGGAGCTGCTGTTACCTTTACAAACCAAACCAAATAAAATCAGCTGGGGTTGTCATCTTGCGCATCCACTCCACAACTGCACTGAGGGGTTAACTATATTTTCAGATTGTTCCTCTCTCCAGGCTCCTGCAGACAAGAGTCCAGCTCAGGAACAGAGAATCTGCCTGGGACTATGCTGTTGTATTTTCATAAAGTTCCCTCCATCCTCTACTTTCCCTAAAATCTGCTGCTTTATCTTTACGTATTCAAAAAGGAAGAATAATAAACACAACAAATTTTAACTATGAGGTCTCCCATGTAGGTACGTAGCATCCTTGATGTTTCTTGCCTGTTGTTCAAAAGCTAAAAACATGTAATGCTTTTTAATCTAGAACTTCACTTCCTTGAGAAAAAGGATTCATGCACTATTCACCTAATGCCACTAGAGAGGAACAAATATGGCAAAATGTCTCCATACACCTTACGCTATTAATATATACAGCACAAAAATGACCAGCCTGTAGGTTCCTTCCTTCATCATCTGAATTCACCATATCAAACACAGCCTCATAAAGACAACCTGGAAATGGATAATCCACCATGATACTTAGCTTAGCAAGATATTTAGCAAGCTATATTCTGAAGCAGACTTGGAAAAGCGAATTGATTTCTTAGTTCACAGTCACCCTATTTCACTAACACTAATTGAACTGCTAACTTCTGTGAAGCAGGAAACAATCAGTGTAATGTGGAAGGACCCTCAAAGTAACACAGAATAAAAAAAGCAATGTGATAATGGTTGTATGTTCAGAATGACTGACAACCCCACTAGTAGCTAGGTGTTGAATTTCAGCGAAAAATCAAGTCAGAATGTTCCCTAGAGGTAGATATTCTCAGTATTTCTTTAATAGAATAAACCCTGTTAAACTTTCAGGAACTTTGATAGGAATCTGACTGTTTAGACACTGCAAATAACCCCAGATGATAGCTGTCAGATTTATGTCTATAGATACTCATGAGAATCTCTGCCTTCTTTCTCATTATACCAGTGGCACGCAGCTCACACACAACTTCTGCCTCTCCATGAAATGAGGATGAGGCCATCAGGATAAGAGACAGTCACACTTTCATTGTAGTCATGGCTTGTTTCAGAATCCTGAGCTGCTTTCCAGGTATGCTGATTTTTATTCTCCCTTTTACTTCATCTCAAAGAGATTTGTCCTTAAGAGCTTCAGCCCAGTGTACAACACTATCTACAACTGGTGCTCTTTTACAGCTGTAGTACTAACCACCAGTGAACTGTTTTCTGGACAATCTGGTTAAAATTCTGCATACTGGCTGACTCTTCCTTTGATTATCATCCTTACTTTTGGTTAGATCATTCATGACACCTCTATGTGGTTTCTCTGCAGAGTTCAATGGCTATCCTCAAATAGGTTGCTAGAGTCCTATTCAAGCTCCTGACATTTTTTAACTTTCATATGTTGTTTATACAAAGGTTCTTCCTGGTTCCTCTTTTACCTCTGCATCTTTTCACAGCCTTCTATCTTTAAATGTTTACAGTTTATTCTGTAATCTGCTTGCTGACTTGTGCCTCCAGCCCCTCTAGTTGGTATCTAAGATGCTAACTACATGTCAAACAGCAACCCCAAATAAGTTGCTGATGAGGGGAATCAGGGCCCTAGTATAAGTAATCAATGGAGAGAGTGAAGAAGAAAAACAGCTGTTCCTACAGGAAGGACCAGAGTAGTTTCTGAGACGCACAGAGTGGGCACAGCAGCCTCTGACGCATACCAGTGGCTTGGTGCAAAGCTGAAGAAAGTATTATTCCCCAGTTTCCAAGAACAAACGTTTTCCTCAAGTTAGTTAAATCACTGCAATATTTAGCACTGTTCTGGGAGCGATACACCTCTTCTAGCAACAAGGAAGCTTTGAGTGACCCACCCACCATGGTTCTGCTAGCCTGTTCCTAGCCAAACTAGGTTTCTACATCCTCACATCCTTTGTTTCAGCTTCAGAGTGTAATTTCAGTACAGCGCCGCTAGCCTAGTCCTACACAAGGAAACATGAGCGGATATTCTGAGTTCTCACTGGATTACAAGTATTCCCAGAGAGGATGACTACACTGAACTAGGGTTATCTAGCCTATATTCTTCCTGCTGCTCTGGCTGTTGTTTTTGTCATTAATGTTATGAACAATCGACATGCATGCTGTGCATAAATATTCACAGAAACAGGGAAGGATAGAAAAATGCTACCTACATATATCACAGAGATACATTACAACAACACCCAGAGGAGATGGAGGGACTCTCACTGAGGTTAAAATTACAGGGGCAACTGTGAAAGTGGTCTTAAAACTGAAAAAGAGACAGAATTCAGAGCACATGTAAGTCTACTCAGCAAACCAGTTTTGTCAATATATTCAGAACTCCATTTTTACATTTACTTCTAAATTTATGTGTAAACTTGCTTCATTTACTGTACTAAAATCTCAGCTTGATTTTAGTCTACACATGAGACCAGAACTTTTGTGTCAACTATACATACACTACACTGTTGATGATTTTATTTATTTTTATAATCCCATTATATTCCATTCCTATACCGTCATATTCCTATGTGCTGTAGGGTCTTTTACTGACTATGGCCATTCACCCTCTACAGTTTTTGGTAGGATAACTGGAGCTCTTGGCAGCTGGTAAAGTGTGGGAGGCAGTTTGGATCTGTATGATAAGTGCATTAACTGAATGTTTGCGCTAGAGGATCAGCAATAAAATCACTGACATTAATAATGGAAATGTCATCTCTAAGTTTCAGAGCTAAACATTCAAGAGAGAAATTGGGTAGTTTACTCCTATGCAAACTCTTCTTTCAGCCTGTGAAAACACAGAGATCACTGCATTTTAGTAATGCTCAAATCACGTTTTCAGGGTTTTCACAGCAAAACAGAAAGTAAGAAACATTTTTTAAAGCATTCTAGGCCATAATTTGTCCATATATTCTATTGCAGCACTATCATAAATTACTGTGGGCCATGGGTAATGCAGGTTCCTCAAGACTACACTTTACCTGCAAATAGGTCTGCATCAATGAAAAATGGATTAGGTACTCATTTACAGCAGATAAACCTGTTTGAATTAATTAGCTACTATGGAATGATGAAGATTTGGTTCTATAAGTCTCAGTGGTTTTCCTTTGGAAACTTTCACCTCTACTGATTGACTTCACTATGCAGCTGATTTACAAGGGTCAACTATGTCTTTGTGAAATGAGGGGCTTTTCTGCAAGACAGAAGGAAAATGTAAAGAATGTCCTGGCCCTTTATTACAGGCCAGGCTTAAACAACAGAGCATCTTGAGCCAAAGCCTAAAGCAAAGCAGAGCCATGTTAGCCAAGTATTTTTTCCCAGCCACATTTTTAGGGATCTTACTCTTCCAACTCTATGAAACTCAGCCTTCACTCCCTTCTATTTAGTCTTTTTAATCCCAGGGGAATAAATTCCCTGCACAGTTGAACCCAGGCTGTTACCTAGGAACCACTACTTGCAGGGTAGGCAGCTGTGTTTCTTCTTCTTGCTGAGAAAGTTTTTTCCCTGCCAGTTCTTGAGAAAGTTGAAAGCATCCCAGCATACCCACCCCTACTTTATTGGTCTTTGGCACTGGAACTCACCTGTGGAATTTGTCCCTGGCTCACAGGATGCATCACTGTTCTGGAATCGGTTCAGCTGCCTTTCAATGGAAGACACCCTAACAGATAAAAGCATCAAATTAGAGATAATAAGGGACATACCAAGGAAGAATGAAAGTCTCAACCAAAAAAAAAGAAGAGAGAATTCTCCCAATTTGCATAACCTTACTGGGATTGTAGCTACAAAGCTGTGCCTCAACATGGTATGAAAACAGCGGTGACAGCAACTGACTCCAGAACGGCAGAGCAAGACAGATGAACACTCAAGCCACGAGTTTAAAACACTTAATTATCCCACATGCCTTGGAAGCTGATTCTGGAGGATAAAAGAGATAATAAATGGCACTGGACCACCGAAGTACAACTCTGCTAGTAATGCTGTGGTTACCTTATTCCAGTGATATGAAGTAAAATGATTAAGCAATCTTAGAACAAAAATGCACATGCTGGCAAAATACGCCACATTCAAAAGTCTTTGCATCTTGTCTCAGCAGAGACAGCTCATTTAGGAAAGATTTCTCACTTGTCTTGGAAACTGAGACATTGCATTTAGTCTCCAGTAGTCTAGTGCCAGTCCTCAAACAGATGCTTTATGCAAAATCTCAGCGTTTGAGTTACAGTAAAACTATATTCTGTGGAGTACAACTGCACTACTTTTAACTCTTATAAAGATTCATTACCAAACTGAGACCATGCTCTCCTACATAGAAAACGGTTCAAGGAAAGGCCAAGTTATATAACTACAATGACCTGTTATGTCCTTAAAATCTAGATAATTGATCCATCTATTCCGGTTTGTTCTCTCCTCCACATCCCTCCTGCCTTTCTTCCTCCCTGCCCAACTCTACAGTGATCAATCCAGACTTCTGTGTGCACACTTCTGCCTCTCTGCCAGAGTCCTTCTTCACTCATGCAGCTCTACAGCATTACAGTTACTGTGAGCTTTTCTCCAGAAGAGCACTGTACTCTCCAACCCCCACGGGATGCCCTGATGACTAACAGACCCAGGCACACATGCAGTTTCTATAGCTTTGTCTGAAACCTTTTGCTTTCAGATTTCAAAGTCAGCAAGCTGCCAGCAATCCAGGTGCTCCTGGCAGCTAAAAGGCCAGTGAAGGACTCCTGTATTTTATATGTCAGTTGGATTTTAATGAAATAAATTGGAGTCCATACCGGAAGGAAGGGGGATGCAGATACAACATTTGCAAAACAAAACTCCTTACTTCAGTCAGTCATAAGTTGAAATGCTGTTGTCAAATGAGGTGCCTGTTTCTATATTTGTTGTCTCTCAGGGAGAATTTTTGATCTGTACTTATGGTTTCTTTTGCTGCTGACACCATATGGTCCTTCTGGGAACTGAGAATCCAGATGGATCTTAATGCTTCATACATGGGTATTCTATGCTCATAATTAGCTTGTCCACTTTGTTAACACAACTGTCAAATTAAGCCCACCCTTTTGTAGGCAGAATATAAGACTAGTGGTTGAAGATGTCATCAAGAATGCCAGCAAGTACAACAACAACAACAAAAAAACCCAAACAGGGAACAGTCACACTTCTACTTTGGAAGCATAATTTATGTTTAGAAAATAAACTTTCTATGAACTTGCCTTTCTTTTCTCCTGCCTACACAGAGTGCACCTTGATTCTTGCAGTTTCAACCTGCACCTCCACACAGCTCATTCTCAGATCTGGTTTCCAGTCACTGATCTCCCACCACACTAAGATTACCTCTCTTCCATCTCTGCTGTCCAGATGGAAGCTCCAGTGCCAGAACATACTCACTGCTTAAACTGAGTTAATCCCTTTCCACTGTCTTCCTCCTTGGATTGGCTGAAACCCTACTGCCTTTCTCAGTTTCCTGCTTGTAATGTCTGTGCTATTTTTGCTTCCACTTCTCTAATGCAATCCACTGTTATGTTCTCCATTTCTTCTTCAATACCAACAAAAACAGCCCTCACTGTCCCCTCCACTTAAATATCTGTCATTTTGTCCTTTTCTCTCTATACAGTTATCCCCTCCTTGAAACTGATACTGACTTCCTTAATTCATGCACTAAACCAGCCTTAAGCTGCCCAGCCTACTATAAATTTGGAAGATGCTCTTGTTCCACAGGTGACAAAGAAATACTTGCCTAACTAAAGTTTGAACACCTTTGTTTTAACAACCTATTGCTATAGGATGCTACCAACACATCTAATGGTTCAGCGGGGGACAGAACTGACACTAACAAATTCACATCACAAAACCCCCAGGTTTGACAAGAGGACAGCAACAGATGTGAACACCCAGAGCCAGGGAGGCTTGTTCCTCTTTGTTGCTCTTGGACAGGATATGTGTGCACGTGTATCTGTGTGTATGATCTGAGGCTAGCCAAGGGCTAAGAGCTACAGGCCCAGTGAGCCCAGCTGTGTCAGGGTGTTAAATCAAGGCATGTCTCTCAGATGCACTGCTTTTGCTGCCAAAATAGTCTAAGGGGCAGGCAGCCTGATTAACCCAGATGCTCAGGAGCTAAAAAAACCAATTGTGTCACAGTAGAGCAGTAGCAAAAAAGTGAAAGGGGTTCCAGTAACAGTTACATGCTTGCTCTCTTGATGCCTAGTCTCTTTTCAGTGGGTACCCGGCTCACTTAAGACACTTCATGCATGCCCATGAATAAGTACACATAGGCAAGATGGGATACAAAGCAGAACCACAGTATTTTATAGGGCTCACTCTATGGCCATCATTCTACTTTTGGCACAATTGCCAGGCTTAGACAGCCTGTCCTAGAACAGCTGGATATTGCCGCATCCAATTGCAGTCGGGACTCCACCCTGCCATGGGACTGATTTCCTGAACCCTGGAGAAATGCATCACCTCTACCCTATTTCTGTACTAGTTACAATAGAGCAGAACTTCTGCTCTTCTGCTGATGCCACCATGCAAACAAAATACACAAAGGAAGGACAAGGTAGAAAGATTTTGTGCTGTGATGTTGGGACTTGAAGGAAATGTTTCTTTTGAAAGGCTTCCTCAATAGAGTCATTGGGAATGACATTTACAGAGGAGTTCAGTACATGATCAACATCCCCAGTAGTTTGTGACGTTCCAGTCTATTGCTGGCAAAATCTGTGATCTTAGGCTCTCTGTCTCCCTCATAACATCTTGAACTATGGTGATTTTTGATACCTAGCATTTCTCCTCTTTATATGCAGTGGTCTAATGTTGATAGCTGAATTTTCCTGACATCTTTCCTTTGACTGTTAATTCTGTTCACAGGCTGTTCAACTTTGCTCTCCTTGATGCTGCTGTAGTTTCTTAAAAGTTACTTTAGGAATGATAGCACAGAAATGTGTATTTATTACGACTTAGTCATTCCTAAAAGCAGAGAGATTTTCTGTCTCCCACCTGTACCAGTTCACTCTGGGTTCTGACCCAGTTGAGCTAATGTATTTTTCTACTTTGCATGCTGTCATCTGTAACGTGAAGTTTCAATACAGCAAATGCTACTTCCAGGGACATCTGCTTCATTCCACAGCTTACGAATAACGTATCTGTGATCTCTGTCCCAAAATGTTGCTCTCAGCAGGTCGCATCATGGTTCACAGACCTGCCAATAGTAGTGACAATATGAGCAGTTGAAAGAACCTAGTCTGACTCTTGGAAAGAAAGACGAGCTTGTTGTGTTAGCTGTTCAAAAAACTTTCTTTCTGCTTGTGATATGAGCACATTTAATCAAAACTATGGAGCCCCATGAGACCATTTTGTGGGGCTACATTTCAATGTAGAGCAAACTATTAAACCATTTCTCCCAGTTTGTCTTTTTCCACACCTTAACACAGGCCTCAGTTTTCCACTCTATTAGCTTAAGCAAGGAGCCTGCTTTGGACACAATCCATTATAAAGTCAACCTACTACCTTTTACAAGTTGAGAGACCGAGAAAACAAGAGAGGCCAGGAACTGGAAAGACAAGACTGAATTGTCTGGCTGTTCCATTACATTTTGCTTTATGTTTTAACCAGGGAAAAGTCCAAGTTAGTAGATAGTTTTTGAATTAGTCAGTAATGTTCATCTTCAGCATCCCATTTCTGTTTGTAGTTGAGTTTTCTACTTATTCTTTTCTTCCTCCTCTGGAAGCCACGTGTGCTAGCTAGGGGAGAGGTGACAACACATGCAAGAAAGGGATAGGTCAAAGAGACAAACTTGATCTTAGCTTGTTTTCACAGTCCAGTCTCTGGAGAAGTTCTACAAACAACTTTAAAAAGATGATCTTTATTAAGATGTTAAATAAAAGCCAGGCAGTACAACAGCAGACAGAGAAATAAGGTCTGGCTTACTGAAATAAAGTTGGGGGGGGGGGGGGAGGAGGGGATGGGGAGAGGGAAGAGAGGCACAAAAGCTTTAACAACAGAATGGGATTAGTTTCAGTGAGTCTTGTGGAAATAATAGATAGTACTGAGATCTTCTTTGAGGAAAGAGATCAGGAAAACAGCCAACAAATATTAGGGGGTGAGAGTGGGCAGCAAATCAAAAATGACCTGACAGAGAAATGAAGCAGCCAAACAGCCAAAATTAGATATTATGGAGAGGGATATTTGCCATTGTCATAACATAAGGATATAGTAGTCTCACACTGAAAAGGACAATTCCGGGTGCCACAATGCAAGAACCCTGGCAAACTGAATAAAATATAGTAAATTCAAGACAATTAAGGACTTATCAGGGGGAACTACTATCTGAGGTTAACAAAACCTCAATAAATCTAAGTAATGTTAAGATATTCCAAGAAGTAGAAGGATATTAAAAAGACAGAAAGTATTTGCAATGGAAAGTGTTTAGGGTGGTTCAGAAAGGAGGAACAAGGTACAACAGGATGAAACAAAGAAAAAAATCAGATCACACATCAGGATAGACTTTCTGATAAGGCAGCTGCCTGGATTCTTAAATAGTCTTCCATAGTACATGGTGTGGTTTGTGCCACTGGAGGTTTTTGACAGGAGGCTACACACAATGCCTGAGAATACTTCAGACAGAGTAACAAGGAACTGTAAAGAACAGGCTGGCACATGCAAGACATCTTTTTCTTAAATCTGTATTCCTTTGACACAGAGGCTTCTCTCCATTCACTCTCCTTTGTCAATGCATCTCTGGTCTTTTCCTGACAACAATGAATGGATTAAATTAGGCTGAGACATAGCAGTTTTTAAACGATATGATCAGCTCTCAGTATGCTGGAAATATAGCTGGGCACTGCTGTTTTCTATGTAAGTGAAAAAATGTTACTGTAAGATCCCATGAATGGCAAGAATGGGTTTGGAGTCTTGTGCTGGAGACTGAAAGGCAACTTGGAAAGTATTTCCGGAGTGGCTCCTTGCAGCCTTCAATACTTGGATTAGTTTTCTGAAATTCTAAAGGAATCTTTTGCTTTTTTTCCCCCTTCTGTGCATTTTTGGTGCTGAACTTTTTCCGGTTTTCCCACACTCCTGCCTGTCACAGAGCAGAAACCACAAAAATGCAGCAAAGTAAAGTCTGTCCAAGGAGCTGCAATTCCATCTCACAAGGATAAACATTTCCTCTGCCAAGAAGTGAGCACAGCACACCGGCATCTTCAAATACACATCTCAGCTGCCCGGCAGAGAAACGCACTGACACAGCCTGTCACCTGTACTAACATGAGCTGCCCAACATAAAAGAGATCAGATAGCAAACCCACCAGCATATACCTGGCCAGACCTGATGCTCACACCTGCATTTGCTGAGTTGACAAAGTCTACTAACATCTTCTTTTCTTTTTAAATAGTTTTTTTTGGGTCAATCCAGTGTGCTATCTCTTAAGATAGCAAGAGAACAGGCAGGAAACACACAAGCTTCCCCAATGTAGTTCTGTCCAAGCTCCTTAAATACACTTGCAGTTCCAGATTTGATCCACACATGCTGACAGTGCCCTAGCATCTTCATAAAGTGTCTTTTATCAGCAATCTGTTATGAAAACTTCTCTTTTTAGACAGGAAGGGAGCACAGAATCAGGAAATCTCACAAGAACCTGCTCTGAAAGCTTTATAACTCTTCCGGCTGTAGATGAAGTACAAGGAAGGAAGTTATGAATGCAGTTTTTACTCTTCAGTATTCAGGGATGAAACAAGTCTGAGGATATATGAGGAAAGACCTGATAAAGGATTTAGTCTAAAGCAGTTCTGTTATTTAAGAGGAGGTAATTGTTGATGACGAAGCTACCAAGAAAAGTAACGGATAAGAACAAAACACAGAAGTCTTGTTCACATTCTCTCATAATGCACAAAAGAGAAGACACATCAAGAAATGGAAAGGGAGGAAACTTACAATCAGTAAGCAACATTTCATAGTGGGTTGGGTTTTTTTAAATATAACATATGCCAAATCCATCTACCTTAGAATGGCAAGCCCTATATAACTAAAAGCTGAGTAAAAGTTAAAAGCAGAACTTCTACAGATAATGAGGAAAGCTGTCAGTACATTAGGCACAATATAAACACCTCAAATGAAATTCAACACTTGTGCTTGAAGGCATAAGTCAATCCTTGTGTGTTGTTTTATTTTTGCAGCCTCTTCTGAGCCATCAGATTCTAGCCTGCATCAAAGATTAAACATGGAGGGAGTGACTCAAGTGCCTAAACACAGATGTCTAGTACCATATTGGGTACTCTCAAATTATGTGAGACATCTGCATGGGACTGGCAGATACAACACAAGATCTACAGAAGACTTGTGCTCATCTGGAACAGCACCTGGAAGGTCAGGTGGAATAGTCCTGGGCATCTAAAATGTCACTAACAACATGTATTTAGGTAACTGAATCCCACCTTGGATCAGATACTTCTCTGATTCAGTCTGGTAGTTCCTATGTCCTTATGTTTGTATGATGTTACAGTCTTACCTACCTTACCATTGTGAAACATGAAACTGCAATATAGTGCATACCTATTTCAATGCACACAGCTCAGGTTATTCTGAGATTTATCTTGAACAGCTCAGCCCAAAAGATCTATGTCAGCCACACGTAGACAGGTTCTTCTCTGATATTCCTTCTTGAGGGAACCAGTGCCAGCTTGCTGCTGCAAATGGGAAGAGATAAAACTTACCTGGAAATCCTCTGGGCTGCAGCCTTTCCGACCACTGCCTGCCTGTGGTTTGCTGGAGGCTTTGGAATCAGCTGAGAAGGCGTACTCTGGGATGGCATCACTTTGTGCAAACTGGGTATTTTCTGGATACTAGAAGTGGCACTTGATGTCTTGTGGGCATCAGAGCCAGCTGGCATAGGTATATGGCTGGTGCTGAATTGTGAGTAGTTGGCAAAGAGAGTCTGGTAATAAAAAAAAAGAGAAAAAAAAAGGGAAAATACCAGAGTGAAATCGATGATTACCTCTCTCAATATTGCTGAGAGCTGACAGAGGGGGTGACATTTTTATGAAGACAACCCAGGGCTCCAAGGACAGTCCTATACATAGAAAGAAGAGTTAAGAGGTCAAATCAGTGAAGCAAGTTTTAGAGCTGAATTTTATTCCCTTAGAAGCTGGGACTAGCTTCTAGGAAAGCAGACAAGCTCACTGTTGCCACAGAATACTATTCTGGATTAAAAAAAAACAAGAGATCCTATCCTCAACTTGTAGTGGGCTCCATCCTCAAAGAAGTAAAGCTTTTCTTGCTTTGACAAACTTTCTGCATTTATCTTGCTAAATAATTCTTTGCGTGGGAAGTGGGATTGAGACACAGTTCAAGGAAGGAAAAGAAGAAGGTTATAGGGAAGATGTTACAGTGCCAGTTGTTCAGTTTAACCCTGTAAGTACTTGGAATAATGGAAAGGCTCTCAGGTACCTTCTCCAAAAAAGGGATGTTAGGTCAGCAGCTGACACAAAGGAAATCCCCAGTAATACCAGGGAACAGAAAATATTTCTGTTCCTATAGCAGATGGGAGAGTAAATATCTTGGAGACTTATCACCAGGAACAAGAGAATCCACATGTTGAAAAACTGGAGAACTGAGCAGTGGACTGGCAAAGCAGTGAGTGAAGAATGGTTCCCACAGGAGTTCTGCAAACTGCTCAACTCTTTTCAGAAGGAAGCAACCTGCTGGGAGTTCTGCCTTGTCTTTCCTCGAAGTCAGTCAGATTCCCAAGGCAAAGAGGCAATAATACCACAACCATGCAGTCTGGCAGCTAGAGGTCAGTGATGGGAGATAAAGGGAGATGGGAGATGAGGGGAACAGCTGAGTGCTCACCAGTCACCTCAGCATGACCCTGGGAGCCTTGCCCTTTACTGCATTTGTCCTCAGTTTCTTCTCTGGTGAAAAATATACAAAGCCACAGTGAGTAGGCTCCAGGCTCCAGAGAAAACCACAGTCTGAGGGCTGACTGAGTCTCAACACACAGACAGGAAAAGCCCCTCTCCCCCGCAATTCTCTGGCAAATGGCAGGGCAGCGGTGTGTGGGAAGGCGTTTCTGACAGGCAGAGCTCTAGGGAGAAAAGGAAGTGCAGAAGCCAAAACAGGCCTGTTTCCTACCTAGAGTTCACTGACAAGACGCCCTTGGGCACCCAATCCTTCTTAACCTCTCCCTTCCCTGGAGCTCTACCTTGATCAGAGCTTTCAGATTTGGAGTAAGTAGCTCGTACGAGCGCATAAATCTGGAAAACAGCGATCACGCCCCACCTCCCCCCATCAAAACAAACCAAAATGGAACTTGGCTTAGTCTCTTGCATCTCAGAGTCCGACACACGGGGTTGGGACAGAGATCCTCAAGTCACTGTAGCCCTTTCTTTTTCAGGGGTGACATTTCATTGTGCTCTGTTTGACATTATGATATTTCCTGTAAGTTCTTTTTCTTGTTATTAAAATCACTAAGATCCAAGGGTCCACAAAGCATACAACCTTAACCCCTTCCCTGTGCTACCATGCGATGGCAAGGAGGTCCATGACTAAACAAGCAAGCATAGATGCTCTGACAAAGTCTGATCAGCAAAAGCTGGGCTGAGACCTACCTAAAGGAAGGTCATGGATGTTTTCCTTCGGGGCAACGGACTTCCAAAAAGGCCTTTTGTCTCTATGCTGTGCTGAGATTCTGGCTGCCTTCCAGGCAAGGATGAGGAGGCTGAAAGCTGACACAGACCATAGCTTCTGGATTCAGCTACAAAGTATACTGCCCTGCTGTGAACTCCATGGGGACAGGACAGGAAACCAGGAGAAGCTACTGTGCAAATAAAGAGGGCAGCTGGAGAAAGCAGAGCCTGACCGCACAAAGAAAGGGCTGGGAAGATATTTCAGCATATTCAAAAAGTAGGAGATAGACCTCATCACTCAGGATTCTGAAGGGTCTAGGGAGAGCAGAAGCCTAAACAAACCCTGAGACAGTCCTGAAGCAGGTAGGACACTACATCTATTGCTGCTGCAAGTGCATTTGGAACCACACTTCCCAGACTGGCAGATCTAACTTGATGTTGAAGAGACATTTGCTTTCCCAACAAGTTCGTGGGGCTACAAATCTGAAAAATAATTAGAACACCATGAGGCTTTTTAGTTAAAAAATCATGTACTGCACTAGTGAACTAATTATCCTGCACAACTTTCTGGGGAGACAGGACAGCATTAATGCTGCCTTGAACATGATTAATGTTAGCACTGACAGAGAAAGTGATTTCCCCTAAGCCACAGCAATATGAAAAGCTAGGTTTAGACTCAGAGAAGATCCTGACTCCCAGTCTCATATTTGCCCCATTAGCCAGCAGCAGCTAAGCTCGGGCTGCTCATGATTAAAAGCAGGGTAGTACTTTGAAGAACAGCTGATATATTAATGATCTTCAAAACCAGAAAGAATGTTCCTGGCACTTACCATCCCTGTATCTAACACCCATCCCCAGCACAGTAATGGAACAAACGTTGCAAGCAAAAACATGTTCATTCTGTGACCAGAGGAGGTAATGAAGCTCATTTCCTGTGAATCCGTCTCGGGGCTGAATCTTACGTATCTAATATAAAGCATGCCCCAAATTATGCCTCCTTTCATGGGTTTGGGGCATTCTTGTGTTGATTTTCTGCTGTCTAATTAGGAGTGGCCTCAAGCTGCAGCCTTTGCCTTAATTGGAGCAGTAGCTGAAGCCCCTTTCCAGATACTTAGCTTGTTATTTTCATAAAATTTACATGAAACATAGCCTTGAGATTTCCATCTCAGTCATTCAGTTTAAATTGGATCACCAAATCTGAAAACAATGAGAGACTCACCAGTGTATGAGAACTGACAGAGAGATGCACACATGTGTATTGCATAAAGATCTGTGCAGCTAGTTCCAAATCACAAGCACTGGGAACTGAAATGTTTATAAGCAATAAACAATTATGAGGATTTAAGTTTTTAAAAAAGCAAAGAAAAAGCAAACCAAACAAAACAAACCCCACAGCTTTTAGAAAAGCAACTGTATCTCAGATGACACTGCAAAAATACAGAGAATTAAAAGGCTTGGAAGACCTTGGGAGTCATGCAAATTGTTTAGTGATTATTTTGAACACACACTAATGCATTCAGTTACATTAGTCTGGATGCAATAATCAGTTGAGCTGAAAATTCACAAAGCGGCAATAAAGAACAGGCTCAAAATGTACTATTAACTGCAATAGTGCTAAACTGCAGTAAGAGGAACATCTTGGGTCATCAAGAAATTTAAAGAAGAGGAAAAAATTGACGATATGCACAGGCTGTTCTGAAGCATGTCTTCCTCAGTAAATTCTTTAAAATGAGACTAAAATAGACTATAATGAGTTGACATGGTGCCTTCTCCTTTGTCTCTCTTGCTGCTGGGACCTCTCTAGGGCAAGGATTGGACCGTATAATTGTATTGGAAAGATACTTAACACATGGGCGTTACCATAATTCTAATAATAGTGACGGGATCAGAAACTTGGTGACAAAATTTCACCTGGTATAAATCAGCACAGACTACTGCTTTCAGAACAGTTGTTCTGCTTTACTTAGACTGAGACTTTGACTCACCAGTATCACAAGACTCAAACAGGAAAAATGGCAGTTAGTACATTTAGTGGGAAAACAATCTGACGGAGAAAGCTGCAAAACAAGAATGAACAAGAGACTGAAGGGAAAGAGACACTGCAGATCTGACAGCAGTCCAATATATAATAGTTTAGAAAACAGTTTAATGATGCTTAAGGCTACATTCAAAGAGGCCCTGTGTCTTCAGGCAGGAATAATGCAGTTCTAGGAATACTAGGAATATTACCCTGAATACTCAACATTCCCAGTCAGATCTAAATAAACTGCAGGGAATTCAGAAAAGAGTCACATACATTAAAAGAACACAATTTTGCTGAACTTCATAAAATGAGGAATATTTCAGATAACATACCATTTTTAAATGCTTGAGAGAATTATTTAACATTAATTTAGCCCTATGTTTTCTAGCATGAAATCTACTTAAGCCTCTGATTGAAAATGTGATTGTAGCTGACCACACAACTCATTAACACGATGCATGTATGGTTTAACATAAACTTTTTTGATATAAGCAGGACTGATGGGGATCATTCCACTATATGACTGTACTTTCCTTCTTTTAATTTAGCTTTTTTCCCATGTGAAATGTTTTGCATAAAATTCTAAACCCAGTACATGTTAGGCTAAGTAGACAGAACATAGCCACACAGAGAAGGAGGGACCTCCCTAACAGCTAGTGGCATCTTTCCAGTACAGGAAACAATTAGAGAATAAACAATGATGGTATATTAGCTGCCTTGCCAACTGCAGCACTGATACTAACATCTAGCTCATAATGTGTCACATGAAGTCTCTTTTAAACATTAAAATACTGCTATGAGCCTGTTTTTTCTTGTCTTTTGGTTTGATTTTGTAATTCTTGTTCATTTTGTTGACAGCAGATCAACAGAAGTTTCTTGTCTCCACTTTCAAACTCTGCCCCTTTCTATTTTTGTCTCTTTTCTCAGGTTCTGTATTTTCTCTGTTCTTGAGCCTTATCAGTGCATCCATCTGTCTGTTAGGTTCTCATCCAGGCAGTTTGGTATTTCTCCTTTTGTCCAGGGAATAAAGTACCTATCCTGGCATCTGAGATCTATTTCCACCACACTACACTGCATGAACTAACTTGCACATACAATGAATGAAAATTGTTGGTTATTATTCCTCTTCCTCCACCTACACAGTATTTGCTACTCTGCAACGTATTGAACTGGTTAATGTACAGGCAGAAGCATTTGCCTATGTTATTAATCATGGTGCTTCTGTAATCTGTTCACATGCTATGCATATGCATATGACTCATACATTTGTTACAGATAGAAGACTGGCATGTAGTCATGTTGTATGGTCATGTCATATTTGAGGTGTGTCCTCAGATATATTAATAAATGCACTTCAGCTACTGACAAATAGCTAGCCTGCCTTCCAACCATAACAAGAACTTGAAAAGTCACATGGAAGAGGCTTGGAGATACCCTGCATGCATTCCCCAAAGTAGAGAGATCATGACACTCTTTCAAGTGATAGGCTTTCTGTTTTGGGGGATAGGTTTCTTCCGTTGAGAGCAGGCTGAGGAACTTCAATATAGCAAGCAAGACAACAAAGGATGGAGTAGATCTCAATACATGGCAAGGAACAGAAGGGAAAAAGCAGCCAACAGGAGATAGGTGGCTTAGGTGACACTGGCTAGGAAATGTAGTAAAACCATGCAGGTCAGAATAAACTACATTAGCTTTGGCTAAAAAGAAAAAAGGACAAATGATGGCCAGCAGGAAAAGGTGGGGCAGAAGTCAAAGCAGTTAGTGGGAAGGAGACAAATGTAGGGCAGAAAGTGTGTAAGCAGCAGCAACAGAAAAGCAGTTCTTGGGAAAGGCCAAGTCAAAGAACCGACATCTGAGAAGCTAACTAGCAGGAGGAAGAAGTCAATGACAGAAAACTAGAGGGAGCAGGGAATAGACAGATAAAGATGAGGGCGGTGAAGTGACTGGGAGAGGCATCAGAGGATCAGTGCAACTGTGACTGGAAGGGGAGATCTGGCTGAGAGAAGTGTCCAAGAGACAACCATTTTATTTAGAAGTTTTTCACTTCAGAAAGTCTGAAACTCCCCATGTTCAGAAAATATCTTTCTTCATTAATGGCAACTTCAGTGCAGCCTGAGCCCTGCGGCAATGGCCTCAACACTGCAACTCCAAACTGCTTGGCTCAGAAGGAGAAGGGAGGGAGAGAAAGAAGAGGGATGTTGTGGGGGTGAGAGGAGGTTTAACAAAGAATCATTTTAACAGAAACTCCTGAGTAATGGCTCTGCCCCAGGCCAAGAATAACATCAGCTCAATGTCAGCAATCAGAAGAGGGCTCAGCCAGGCCCCGTGGCCAGCTCCAGCCTCCTCACAGGCACAAGCTAGCTTACAGCCTGAACTCGTGAGCAGCCACAGCTGCCCACCCAGAGCCCCCTGGACGGAGATGAAAGGAAGACCTTCTGCTCAGAGGGGGGGAAAGATGCCTGTAGGTGAGGGAATTTGGGGATGGAAACTGCATGGCTAAGTGAGGGCTTGAAAGAAGCAGTGCAAAGAGTAAAGGCAGAAGGGCCTCTTCCAAGACGCTCCCAGAAAAGTATGAGGGCAATCTGCCTATAACCTATTCTCAAGGACCCTGACTAGTGACTCATTTTCTTCACAGGAGGGAGAGTGGGTGTTCAGACCTCCACATGTTAGCTGTGTTCTGGTTTTGTTGGAGTCCAGTCTGCCAGACTGCCCAGCAAATAGCTCCTTCCTAATGGAGACCAATCTTTTTTGAGTGAAGGTTTGTTCACTCAAAGACTTCCTTGCCTTTAGCAGGGAAGCTTTTTGGACATCACTCAGAAGAAAGAACACACATCTCTCTCCATAACAGCAAAGAAAGGTAACAACTGCATCAATGATCTCATTGTAACCTTGGAAACTTCCCCGCACAGGATAGAAATGCTGTTCCAAACACAGTGGTCCACTCTTTGAATCTAGGTGTCATTCAGAACATGAATAATACAAACTCTTTTTCATATTTCCTCCAGTTCTTAGACATTTAGCCCATCTTTTATCCTTGCAATTATAACAAAGGAGTCACATATCCTTCAGACAGTTCCATGCAAAGAAGTGAAAGGAGATGTTAAATTTAGTAATAACAAAATGTGTAGGAGGTCTGAAGAAGAGTTTCAGGGTTGCAGAGAAAACCTACATCTGGCATGAGGATCAGTGGCTGTCTTCTGCACAGTGAAGGTTCTTAAAAGAAATTAACACAATTCTTAAATAAATGAAGATTCTTCTAAATAATTTTTGAGTCCCCTTAGCATACTCCTCTTCGATAACTGCTCTTTTGATAACCGAATCAAATCGTATGAAAAGACACTAAGGAGGAGGAGAATTTAACCAAGATGAAGCCTTGATGGGGTCTGTTTGACACAGGACACAGTTGTCAACACAATTTCAAGTCCTTATATTTAGAAACACGGAAATACAACAGTGACCCAGTCTTAAGCACTTCTCAAAAAGAGCTCGGGTCAAAGCAGGAACACATCATCAGTGATGAGATTAAGTGACAAAGAACTATGGAGACTGTAGACAGTTCTAAAATTGAGGGACTATAAGAGGATGCCCCAAACTGGTGCATTAAAGTAAGCAGCATGTCAGTAGCCAAATGAAGGCGAATGCCAGTGCAGTGCAAGAAGCCATTGGGAATTAAAGCATAAAAACATCAAAATCAGCGCAGATAATACCAGTGCAACCCACTCTAAGAGCTAATTCTTCACAAAAGCTGAGCCATATGTACTGGCTCTGGGTTGATTCTGCACATCTAAGGCTGCGGCTGTGCACATCTAAGTCAGCACTGCTACATCCCAGTCAGGATTTTTTTCTTAATTACCTGGTGCCGGGCCTGGCTTTGCTCCAACAGCTGTTGTGACTGAAGTTTAAGCTCCTGAAGTTGTTGCAGAGCAAAATTGAGATGGTAAGTTCGATGTGCCAGTGGACTCCATGTCACCTTGTTGTAGACACTGTCCTCCATCTCTCCTTCCCAGGCAAAACGATGATTCTCTGGAGCCCTGAGAAAAGAAGAGCTATCACTATCACCACTCTGCATAGAAGGACTCCTGCTTACAATGCAATGCTGCTTCCTGAAAATCCCTTAATACTTCGCCAGCTAGGAATTTGTATTAAATGGCTTCAGCAAGCATATCACCTGCTAGAGGTGCCATACGCCAACTGCCATCTTGCTAAGGATTTTCTTGAATTCCAGGCTGGTACTATATTACTACCCATAACAACATGCTTGAGGAGAACAAAGGAAAAGAGAAGAAAAACTCTGAACTGGAGCATGTCTGTGGCTGATTAGCATTGAAGAGAGACAGAGCTGCAGCAGGAAAAGATCTAAAGATTCCAACCACTAATGAGATATTTATTTGGATTTGTAAAGGTTTTATTAATACACTAACATAAAGCTTGCACCAAGCACATACATGCTGCAGTGAGAGTGGAATAGAAGACACATGCAGTACAATATTTACAGAGAGGAGAAAGGACTGGTAGGGTGAGGTTGCAACTAGGGCACATATTGACTTCATACAGTTACAACCCAAAAGACTCGAGGGGTCTGAAGACAGGCTCATTTCTTTCATCATCAGAGTAATGCAAGTCTTTCCCAGAGGAGAAAAAGGCTCCTGCAAAGAGGAAGGAGCTCTTACAACCCAGGCTTATACAGTGGGAGTTCAGCTGTGGCCTGCAATGTGATAAGTACCAACAGGAGCTCACTGGCTTGCTTTGAAGTTTGTAAGCCTTGTCAAGAAGGCAGCACCAGCACACTTCTCCACAAGGCTGAGAGGCTTTGCAGAGAGCAGGTGGCAGACTGACAGGACCACAAGGTGTCCTAAGAAGGCTACAATGGCCCAGCAGCTCACACATCCTGTGCTCACAAGACAGGATGCCACAGACCCACTGAATCCGGACACCCTGGCTAATAAAACCTCCAACCTTCAATGTCTGAGCTTCCCAAGTTTCTGTTGATCTTTGTCATATTTCTTTCTCTCTCTCAGCTACTCTTTCCAAATGTTACTTTTGGATTCCCATATTAGACTTCCCCTTTATTTCCTATGCATGTTATAAGTAACTGGGATGTAAAAGACATTTGGTGTCTTTCATGCCACGACTCGGAATGTAAGCCATGGTTTTGGCAAGGGAGTTACTACAAGCTACTTCCTTCAGGACCCTATCAAAACTCACAACCTAGATCCTTGGAACATGTCACAGCTTCCCTCTAATATGTTGCACCTTCCCCCACAAGCTTCATCATCACAGCAAACCCCTAAAATTTTTGGAAGGATGTTTTAAACAAGATCAGAAGCAACTACCAGCCTTATGTACTCTCCCTCAAAAATAACCTAACGCATCCCTTTCAAAGCAAATTGAGGACAGGGACTTTAAATACTAAAAGGTCGCTCTCCATGATCGGCTGCTCAGCAACAGAGCAGTAAGACAGTCTAGTGCGAAAGGAGTTCAGCTGCCAGCATCTCCACTCTGCATCCTCTAGGCCTCCTTCTGCTTGAAGCACCGCTCTCTTACTGGCCACTGGCTGTAGGTAGCCTTCTCTAGACTACTCTAGAGAGTAGAAATCCCACCCATGCTTCCTCAGTCCTCTGCTTTCCCATTGTATCCCAGTACAACACCAGATAAATGACTCACTCCCTGCTCCCTTTTGCTACAAGATTCTCAGTCTCAGTTCTTTTCCTCTCACCAGTGGTTAGAAAAGTGACAATGTAATGTTGCAGACAGTACACAGGCCCTGAAACCCAAATTGTATAGGTCCAAATGTGGCTCTTGGTTAATCTTGGGAGATCTGCTTCCTGCTTCTGCGTCTGCTTTCCCCCTTCTGACCCAGTAATAGAGTTACAATCCTCTACTACTGTGGTTTTACCTGCAGTTTCTCAGCTCTGGATCCATGAATATGTGTGTGTGCTGCTGGCCTCCCAGCATTGTTCCCTGTGCATAGGATGCCACAAAAAGCATAATTCAAAAGGAGGACCGAGGCACAAGGAATCTTTGAAATGAAGCTGTCTCATCTCCAACCCCACCAGTTCACCACATGGATTATCCAGCAGGTTCCTGTTACCTGGACTAAACTCCCATGCCATATCTAGTCCTTCCACTGCATAAATACAGACTCCACCATTCATTCTGATGTTAAAGCTTACTGGACTTTTCCTCTGTGTGAAGCAGATGGAGTCTCTGTTATGTTCATTCCCCCCATTCCCATAAAGTCAGCTAATGCTGCAGACCAGCCCTTGAAACAAACACCAGATACAAAGGCGAAAAGCATTCAGGAGCTCCATCAAAGTCATATTAGTGTTCAGTAAATGGCCTGATTAATTCCCCATCAATACTATTGAAAGATCATGATCTCGAATACATCTGTTTTGAACTAAACAACAATCGTATTTGTCTATTTGCCTGGGCTAACTTTTTCACACTATCAATGTCTCAGTTGATAAAATTTGGTATGTTCATTAAAAATGCTTCTAAATAAAGTAAGCCGTAGTAGGATAAAGGGGTTACCTCTCATGGATTTCTTAACTAGTTAAAACACATGAAACCAGAGCTAGAATAAATGGGCATTTCCAAAATGGAAGGAGATTACCACTGGGGTCCCACAAGAATCTGAGCTATGGCCTCTGCTGTTCAAAACATTTATAAGTGGTCTGGGAGAGGAGAGGAGGGGGAGAAAGAGAGTGAAATAAAAAAAGTTGCTGCTGAAAAGCTGAAAGGCACTGTGAAGTGTGAAAAAAAATGCCATTAATGAATGATCAGAGATTAAACTGGTAGATGACATTCCATTTAATAACTGCAAAGTCATGTACCCAGGGAAACACAATCCTGGTTCTACGTAGTGATGGACTTTGAACTACTTATTTCTGTTCAGGAAGGAGACCTTCTAACTACAGCTATAGGTTTTTCTGTGAAAACATCACTAAAATACTCTCAAAAAGCAAAATCAATGTTAGGAATTATTAGGAAAGACACAGGAAACAAAGCCAAGAACACTTCTATGCTACCATATAAGCCAAAACTGCATCACCCCTTGCATACTGAGGACAGTTCTAACCCCTGTGCCTCCTCCCTTCTCAAAAAGCATACAGTAGAACTGGAAGAAGTCCAAAGAAATACTGTAGAGATGATCAAAGGTATGGAACAGCTTATATATTGAGCAATGACTAAATAAATAAGGACTCTTTAGCTTGGAAAAAGGACAACTGAAGGGAAATACATAAAATATCTATAAAATTGTGAGCTTCAGGAAGAAGGAGAACAGGGAACAATTACTCACTTCTCATGATACCAGACATAGGAAAACCCAAAACTAGTCATCAGGTGGGCAGGTTAAAACAAACAAAAAGATGTAGTTTTTCCTCATAACACATAATTAAACTGTGAATGTCTTCTTATTACAGGAAGTTAAGGACAGCAAAAATTTACAGGGGTTCAGAAATTATTAGACAAGCTCATAGAAGCAAGAGCCACTGACACTGTTCATATACAAAGATACCATCTCCTGGCCAGAAAATCACTGATTACAGAGTCAAAGAAAGTATTTGCAAAGTATCACCATTCCATAACATCAGCTAATGATCTTCCCACAAAATCTTCCATGGGCTGCTGTCTGAGCAGGACATTAAACCAGACAGTCCATCTGGCCTGTGAAAATGCAACCAGTCACGTGTACGTATCAGGGGTCTGCAACTAAACCTATTTCAGGACTCGGTCAGAAGTTAGAGAATTCAATTAAGTGTTCTTTAAGGTATTCAAGTTATATGCTTGATCTAGAAAATAATGTCTGTTCCAACTTCTGTCGTATCTACCTCCAGGTCAGAACCTGCAATACGTAAAATTTATCCTTTGATCCAAAAGAATGCTTGGGAAGCTAAAGATTGAGTGAATTGTTCTAAAACACAAAAGTCAAGATGAAATGGAGCAGGTACAACTCTGCTAAAGTTGGATCTGCTGACAGCCAAACTGGCTTTGTGCAACAGAGATGATGTGCATTGACTGCAGACTGTAGTACTGTGAGGGCCACTAACTGAAGGGCAAAACTTCAGTATTATTTCCCTGATCCTCATTTCTTTTGTTTGTCATATCTAGCAAAGGACTTATTATGGAAATACATATACTGAAGAATGATGGTCTAATTTTTAAAATTCACTGGGATTGCTGCCTTCAACCTTTGTCTACCTCAGTGAACTCTCAAATGCTTTCAATGGGTTTCTAACCAGTTTCAATCAATATATGATCTATAGGCCAAAATAAATTCTTTAGGCCCATATAAGGTTGGTTTAAACTACCCAGGAAACCACTGCTGAAACTATGCTTCTAAATCTTTAGGAAGAACTAAATAAAACAAACAAAAAAGCCTCATAAAAAAAAAAAAAACACACCCCAGAACACCACACACAAAACAACAAAACACCAAAAAAAACCCTCAAACCAAAAACAGAACAAAAAACCCCAACCAAACAAACAAACCCACAAAATCTTTGGCTAACATTTTCTTGCAGCATAGACAGTCTTGTATACAACTCCCTGCAGTTCCGATACCTTCTTCTCGACACGATGCAGCACAACAGGACTTAGTTTTTTCTAGATATGATACTCAAAACAGTGTTGCTTGCCTGAGTAGATTTTACTCTCATGACCTGCAGAATTCTTTTGGATTAAATATGCTTCTGTGGCTTGCTTCTTTATAGTTGGAAATCAATAGGAATCCATTATACATAACTTCAACCTTTTATAATATAAGCATTATATAAGGTCTTCAGATCACCTTCATGGAAGGATGTTCAGCTGCAGTTTTGGGAAGTCCTCATGTAACATGTTGTCAGGTTGCTGATACTGTATCTAAGGCAAAGCTTGCTGTGATACAGGAAAACAGGGCTTAGGACCTCAGACTCAATATGCTGCTGCCAGAGGCATGCTCCAACTCTCAGTCTATTTGCCATGCTCACAGGCAAAGCATCATGGTGCAGCTCCTAGTTTGTCTCTGACTGTCAGATGATTTATC